AGCTAGATGGAGGCAAATCACACCAAATACCTGCATGGCTGCGTTTGGGGTTATAAATGTTGCGAATCGCATCAATTACCTTCATGGTCGTGATTGGGGTTAAATGAATGGTTGCATCACATCCACCACCACGGTGTTTCAGTGACCGAGCAGAGGAACAAAATCGTCTTGCAAGAAAGTTGCAGTTGCAGCTCAGAAGCAAACGTGATTGAGCCGCAAGGAATTGGATACTTCCTATTTCCAGTGGTTCTGGATTGAAGTTTAGTTTGTTGAAGCACCTTTTGCTTTCTTTTGACCCTGGCAAATATATAAATGGTCTTGTCCGCACATCTGCCTTGTAGTATCATTGTTCAAAACTGTCATCGTGAAAAGACAAGGATCGATGAAGCAAGCTTTGCAGGTTGTCTTGCAATAGGTTTTTGGGCTGTGGATTTAGTCCTGGCTCGTTTTAAGTGCCCAGTTGGAATTAACCAACCCTGTTTGGCGTTTCGCGAAGTTTTGATTATGCTTTCTTTGGGCCGGTCTACTCCACGTTAATTGCCCCTTTACTATGCTTGGGCTTCTGCTTAGGGTTTTCTCGCAATTACTGTAAACCCTTTTTGCCAAGAAAGGGACAGGTGGGAAGAAGCTATTTTGCGAGTTCAGCGCTCTCCCAGGCTGTCTTAGGTCAATGAAAGCCAGCGCTGCAAGGGCTCGGCGAGCGCAGCAAACCGTGGCATGCAGCTTAGGCTTGCGTATGATGTGTTTTCCGGTTCATGCTTTTGCAGTTTTCACTAGGAGGGTGTCTTTTGCCGGGAGAGGAACAATGAGGTGACACAGTGACACAGGCTTTGTTTGCAAATCGTCAGGTGTTGATAGACATCCAAACACCTCCTAAGGTACTTTAGGTCGTGTATGGTCGTTTTTAGGGGGGATCTGGTACCTTCTCAGTAGGTGAAGCCGGATGCCTAGGGAACTAGTACCTGGTTTTGCTACTTCTGAGTTGTTCTTTTGCGGAAGAAGTAGGGCAGGCCAAAAACGCGGAAGATGTGCGACGATCCTCTTGACTTCCTACGAGGGAAAACCGTCAACGCAGCGGTGCGCCGACGCATGGGTCAAGAGGCAAGACTGAATTGACCCGGGTTGAACCGTTTCTGCTCAGTTTCTACTCTCCCTGTAGGCACAAGACCTGGGCCTGCAGACTGGTGAGGTTGGGCAAATAACGTCGGAAGTTTTCTCGTTCGTCGTTCGTTGCCTTCTCTTCAGGTACCTTACGCGGACTTCGACCCACAAGGCCAGTGCACTTTGGATTCAATGTTTTCATGCGAAAAGGCTTGCAGGACGGTACTCAGAACACTGTTGTAGTTTAGCCGGATCAACTCTGCCGCAGCAGATGCAGGCAGAGCGAGGGTCGGAGCCCTGCATCAGTGAGGGTGAGTTGCATGAGCTTCATATGCTGCATGTCTTCGAGAACTGATTCCAGCTCGAGGTCAAAATTCTGCGGAGACATGGACTAAGCAAGCATAATATTTGGGCCACTTGCTTAGCCATGGAAACTGTAGATAAGAATAAGAAACTGAAGCAGAATGCTGCAGAAGAACATTCTATGCTGCAAAAACCTTGCAAATTGCCTCACTGTTCGCACTTCACAAGAGCACTTGCAAGAAAAATGCATGCCGAGCGACTTGGCCCAAGCTAAAATAGCACAGCCAGTATTACATATATATATATATAACTATATATATATATGTATACTCATAATTACTTTCTGTATCCAGATTATCTGGATAGCGCTGAGATAGCGCTGACGTTGGCTTCAAATGGTGTGCTTGGCCCACATGTTTGTTTGTTGTTTTTTTTGTTCCTCCCTCACCCTCCAAGCCAGGGATGCTAAGTTCGTCCTTGGCCCAGATTTCTCCTTGGCCCTGTGAACCCAGCAAAGGTTTTGCCAGACATCCCTGGCGTCTAAAACCCAAAACCCAAGTGGATCCCAAAATGGGTGGTTTGTGCACGAGGGAGATGTTCTAAGAGGGGATTCAGATCTTGTTTGCTCCTGTGGCAGTGAAGAATTGGCGATGCCATAGGAAAAAGTGTGTTGCTATTTACAAACGATTTCAGTTTTCCCTTCCATTTCGACACCATGGTAGCATGACCCACTGCAAGATCTCGACACACCGACACCGCGATCCAAGAAAAAACAGAGATCTCCCAGATGTTGACACATTTGACACGCTTCAGTGTGACAGCAGAAAAAATCCGACAATTGAATCTGTTGGGAACCTGTATGAAAGGATTTTTTCTTCGCCCAACAAGATCAACAAGTGAACTTGACATAACTCGATAGGTTTGAGATTTCTCGTCTTCTCAGACCCAGAAGAGAGGCGACGTGGGTGGCGTTCCACGGGAGCTTTCCCCGAGGCCAAGTGGCCTTCATGCCGCCCGTGGCGGAGGATAACCGAGACGCCATTCTGCAGAAGCGAATCTTTGAGAAAAAGGCTGATGGGAGTCGCAGGCGATATGTTTTCGGTGGGAAATGGTCCTGACGTCCACCCAGAAACTTCTCGTTTGATGTTGTTTTCCTGCTATGATGCACCTAATGAATGCCAAAATGCAGGAGGGATCGGGGATACCATCCTAACAGGTGGGTTCCATTCGCCACATTTTTGCATTCCAACCTTAGTAATTAACGCATTAAATTCGTTAGGAGTCCAGAGCGATAGACAGAGCTTTCTGATGCTTTCTGACACCTCGCCCCAGCACCGCGGGGCCCCATGGCCCGCCCCCCTCTCTGGGGCGAACCAACGGCGAGTTCGTCGCTCCGCAGTGTTCGGCCCACGTGTTTTTACGGACGGCGCGAGAGGCTCGGGAGCTGCGCATGAAGAGCCGACGCCAAGAGAAGTCCGACAGGTCGGGGGAAAGGCGTCGCGCCGAGCGCGGGCGGAGGAGCAACATCCATTTGGAGCTCCTAAGCGTCCGAACTGCGCGGGACTGGCCTGATATGATGTCTTACGACTGTGGGGGTACGAGGCGTCAATCGAACGCACCATGACGGAGGTTGAGAAGAGTTGGCTGGAAGAGTTGGCTGGGAAGAGTTGGTGAAGGATCCTTCTGGATCCAAGGATCCTTCTGGATCCACATCCGTCTGGAATCTGTGGCCTTTCTTTGGTGCCTTTTGTTAGCTCTATTTTCCGAGGAAGGCCCCTGTTCAGCAGAGGAAGCACCTGTATGAAACATTATGAAACCGTATCAACAAACAAACAACGTGTACTGTGTAGTTCTATCTGGTCTTGTTTGCTGACTCCCGGACAACCTGCTGAAATACACTAGAACTTGCTTTACTCGGTACTGGGTCCGTCCTCCAAAAAGTACACGCGTGGGATCGGCTCCTGTTCATGCAGATCACTGCCAACCAACCATGCATCACACGCCTGCCAGCCGTCTTGCGCCCAAAGGCACTTGGAGGACTGACGGGATGGTTTGCGTCTGAAGCAAGGGCAAGCGTGGACGGTCAGCCGCTTACCACATGACCAGCATTCGCCCTCGAAGAGGGCATTGGTGGCAGTGGCTTTTTGGCTGTCCGTCCGTGATGTGCAACTCAGTGTGCAAGTAAAGATGGGGGACGAGCTGGAAAACCTTTGGTGACGGTAGACTCTAGACGCTTTTGAGGGCGTTTGACATCTTTGATTGTGTAAGATGGTGAGTGAACAAGAATGAAGATGTACTCACAAATGACAAAGCGAGGTGACTCAAGACAAACACAGGTGGAGTGATTTTCACCAAACATGACGCCTATTGTAGCCCTCCCCTGAGCTAAGTAGCGGCCGGATGACCGGCTTAGGGGGTTCTGTGGTTTTTCCTCTTGTACAGACTGTTGTACAGATGCCGACCACATGGACAAAAAGACGAGAGAATGGGGGAGACTCGGAGAGCGACTCGCCTGGAGCGGAAACGAGTCGAGAGCAGTTTGGAGCTGAGTTTTCCTTTCCTTGTTTGGCGGCGAATGGTGAAGTGCATGTATCAGAATGTGCACACTTGCACATTCCGTCCTGGTATGTTTTACTTATATAATTACTTTGCTTGCCATTCCCGCCGATGATACGTTTCTTTGGTCTCCAAAGGATGGGAAGGGTGAGTGGAGATAGTGTAAGGGGCGAGGTTTGTTCACTCCGGATATCGAAACGGCCAAGACGTGGAGAGGGAAAGAAGGTTCGGGCCGCCATGTGGTGTAGCAACAATTAAACCGTGGCAGACATGGAACCAGCTCCTGGTTTACCCTTTTTCATGATGTTTGCAATCACAGCAGGATGCCGGAAGGCCAAAAGTAGGTGTTTGTTATCCTGTGGCATCTACTACTTTAGAGCACCCCAGGCAGAGGGTGATTCACTGGGGCCGCAACACCTTCATGGATCTAGTCAGTTGTTTGATGCATCCTGTTCTATCCGTCAGAGTGGATCTTCACCATCAACAGCAACCTAGCACAAATCCCCTTTCAGAGTGGGTCAAGACCTGGAGATGATTCCTGCCTGATATGTTGCACACCAACATAAATGCATCTATAGACTTGTCCTTCGGCTTCGGCAAGCCTAGTGAGTGGTATTCTGTAACTACTTAAGTCCCTCAGACGTATGTCAAGAGCTGATTCCGCACGACGACTCCACGAGGCCTGAGAAGCTTCGAGAGGTGGCAGGTGGTGGTGGACCTGCAGGAGTACGGGCAGCCCAGGGACTCTTCTCCAACCGCCAAGGCAGCCCTAGCCTAGGGCTCCAGTCGTACCTTCATTTCGAAGGTGGGACTGGGGAGGGTGCCAGGAGGGGTCAGACCTTCTGGGGTACGACTGGAGCCCAAACTAGGTGCTGGATGACTAGTGCAGGACGAACTGGCTCACGGACGGATCCCGACCAGCCGTGCCTCGGGAGCCTTCCGAGAAAGAAATTCCTTGTGTCGCACCGCGGTGGGTCCAAGAGGTGGGCTTTTTGGAAGGGGTTTGGTATGAAGCCAACAGCCCAAACTCAGTCGTTGATGGGTGATGAAGTCGACCTGCGGATCCGCTTCGGCTAGAGAAGGAAGGTCATGGATCGCTGCGTGTGGCATACCTGATTTGTGGAGTTTCCTGGAGTCTTTGGTCCTGAGGATACTAGGGATGGAAAGCCTTTCCAGAAATCCTATCCATCGGGGTTCTTTCTAACAACAAGCAATCAGGGTGATCTCCTGGCCATGTGCTACGGCGGATCTCACCTGTGGAAGAAAGCACTAGCGGAGCCTAGTAAAGCTGATGAAGCTGTGCTCAGTTCAAGGAGGTTTGTTCATGTCATAGGGAACCACATGACCAGGCTCCAGGTTTGCCCAAGTGTTGCTTGCAGAGGAATTGGTCTTTTGTTCAGGAAGAACGGAAGAAGGGGTCCATAGTGGTGAAGGTGAGATCAGAGATGTTTGAAGAGTCTTTTGGAGGCCAGATGTTTAAGGAATTTGACCAAGCTTGGATTGAATTGGCTCAAGTCTGGGCGGTCAAAAAGCACTGTTCCGGGCATTTGATTCATGGGAGTTGGAACGTCCCAGACGTGGGAGTTGGAGGTCCAATGCCTTACAGACGCTGTCACTTTACCTGTGAATGCTAGCATGACATGTGAGGAGTTGCGGCAAGCTATTCAGGAACACTTGGGGATCGATGCTGATCATCAGGTGTGGCATGCCAATGGAAAGCGCTTGAAATTGTACAGTTCTCAACGCCTGGAGGTTCTAACTGGGACATCCCTGATGACGGTCCTGCGCTGTGAACCAGCACTAAAGCCTCTACCCCAGCGTTTTGCTCTTCGATTCACCTCTGCCCGAAGACGGCTCGTTCGCGCCAGGTTTCCCAGTCGCTTTGTCATCGAGTATCGGATTCAAGCAGATGTCAAGCAGGGCATCCTGTTGTTTGAGCCGTGGAGGAAGAACGATCACGATGTCATGACGTTCGACTCCAAAAATCAAGAAGTGAAGATCGAACAAGGTCATTCCATGCTAGGCTCCACCTTCAGTACCCAAAGCATGAAGGTGGATGCTTTGGTGGAACTCATCTCCCTGTGGCATGGCGATTACTTGGAGCCCGACCAAACTCCATTCTGGAAGGCTCCTTCAGAAAGTCCTGCGGCGAAGCAGGTCTACGATGATGGCCATTATGCTGCCATTGACACTCACAAACCTCAGGCACTTCCTGACTATGATGCTCTTCCTGGCTGGTTCGTGGCGCCAGATGAAGATTGCCAAGAGATCGAGATGGACCTGAGGCTGAGCAATCTTTTCCCTGGAGCACATTTTCTGCGCATGTTGGTGAAGAACGGCGAACCAATACGTGTCGCCCTCTCGGGCGGTCGTGTGGGGAATCGCTATATGGGCATTGAGGAATATGACGTTCGACTTAAAGAACTCCAGCCCGATGAAAGCCTTCAAAGCAACCCCTGGCAACATGCGAGAGCCCCCGTTGGTGGGCAAGGGTACCCCGCCCACATCTTGCAGTGATTCTGCGGCGCGCCATTTGAATCCATGAAACACGTGCAGATGACGGTGCAGAGGCGGAAAAGCAGACCGGTGTGATTTCTTTGGGTCTTTGAGGGAGGGTAGGGAGGAATTTGTTGGAGTCTTTCTGTTTGGACTCTTTTTGAAAGGTACACTTTTTGTAAGAGGGTGTAGCTGGATTGATGAGGTTCACAGGACACAACCATCAGAACCTTGAAGAGAAGGCATCCTTGTACAGCCCCTGATGAGCTGAAACATGCGGAAATATGCTGAAGCTTTGTAAGCTGAACTGAGAACATTGATGGGGTCTTACCAAGGTCTTCACAGATCGATGTTCGGTTTTGGTGAGTTGATGTTGTCAGAGTGCAAAACAGTGGGTTGATTGGCCCGGGTCAGGGGAAAGGGGCTTTGGTCAGTTGAGGCTGCAGCTGTGACTGCCTACCTCCAGGAAGAAGCGTTGCGAGCTCAGACCTGATGATGATTTGTGGTGAATTCAGGAAGATTATAGCGAAATGGCCCCTCTTGGAATTCCCGCTGGAAACAGAATGTTGGAAGGACTCAAGGGATATGATACAGCAACCAACCAAACGGAATCAGGATGTTGGTTGCTCGTAGTGATATAGCTCTCAGGCACTCCATGTATGATATGTATGGCACATTTACCTACATTGGGGCTTGCCTTTTTGTTTGGAACCAGAACATCTTCCGAGGCAGAAGGCCTTCTACCGGAAGTTGGAGTTGATTGAAGGGGCTGGGCTTGGACACTCAGTTTGTCGGAAAAAGGATGGGAAGGCATCTTCTGTATACAAATCGATTTGTAATAGATGGGAAATCCATCAATGTTTGATGGGAAAGGCATAATATGCATGAAACAAATCCTCTGCAGTTGCAAATTCAAAAACTGAAGAACATGTCCATACATTTCCTATATAATAACAGAGATTCTCCTTCGAAAGGGCACACTTCTAAGAGGCCGGGCCCTTGTTACTCGGGTCGACAGATCAATATTCTTGGTGAGAGAGTAGCATGCACAATGTTCTCGGACAAAATGTCAAGAGAACCGCCTTGCTAATGAAATGATCCAAACAAAGAACACATTCGGATTCCCAACAGAAAGATGCTTGTTTCTCTTGTTTGCAGGGATTCTTGAGCGGGGCAACCTTTTCCTTTAGCAAGAACGTTTCTGGAAGAACATTCCCTTGTGGTGTAGTTGTGAAACAACCATCGCGGTGGGATACCGGGTACAAACGTGGACCCCTTTCGAGAAACTTCTGCCAAAAACATCTACAACACATGTCAAAAACAGCCAAGCACTGGATTTGCTGTCGCTGGTCGGTCTTGGGAGTGGACAGAAGCTTTCCACACGGAGACAGCTGCAGCCTCAGGCCTGGCCTAACTGCCATGGTCACACGGCAGGCGACTTGCCACTTGTGGGGAACAGCGGTGATGTCAGTGGCTTGATCACCTCAGCTTGACGACTGTCAGGGGGGGTTGACCACTGTAGTTTGGATTTGATCACCCAGAGGATCAAAGCATATCAAATCGTTCAGCAGAGTATAATCTGTGTTTCTCACCCGAACCGGTGCAGAGATGGGCATTTGTTCAGTGCTGAGAATCACTGGACAAAGTTGGTCATCGTCAGCACTCAGCCAGCAAGCACGCACCAAAAGCATGTTGTGAATGCGAGTTGGCGTTGTTGTTGCAGGTGTTATTTTCACTTGGTGGGTTGAATGAACATCGACTGATAATCATGGATTGAGGCTTATAAGCCCATGGCATAACAACATTTGAGACGTTCGAGACAAACCAACATGTTGGTCCTTGATGCTGCAGGTTCTCTTGATGCAGCGGGGTCGCCTGAAGCGATGGCACCACTGGGGCTCAGATCAGAGAGTATGGCAGGTGGCAAGGAAGAATCTATCAAGTTCTTAAGACTAGGGGAGTGATTTACGGTACCAGAAAAGGATTCAGGAGGGCTCTCAAGGGGAGGGCTCTCAAGGCGGTAGTCGCGCGTTTCAAGCTTTGGGATGTTTGGCGATATTCAGCTCCCAGTTCGGTCACTGTGGTGACAGCTACTGACAGCTGAATTCACGACTGGCCAAGCTGGGTCAACTCTAAGGCAGAACATTCACGGGTTTGTTGCATGAAAGCTGTAGTGAACACTGGGCCTGGGTGTTTTTTCAATCAATCCCAGGAATCTCTGTCATGATGAATTTCTGAAGATTGCAGTAGCTATGTGTGTTGGAACCTGGTCCTTTTGTACCCTTTGTTGTAATTACCTTGCGCAACACCGAGACTTCCATGCCCGAGCGCCCGTGGGATCGCACCACGTGACGCTACCGCGACGCTCCGGCGAGGCTGGACACCTTCTGGCAGCAGCATTTGAAGAACATGGATTTCATGAAGTCGGCGGACCTAGACGTGTCGCCCACGTCGAATCGCCACGAATCGTGAACGGGCAGGGGAAGCTCAACCGATGCAAATGCATGAGGAAGCTCAACTCACTGTGATTGTTGCTTTCTGTCCCGGCTGAGAACTTGGTTTCTCCACTTGGAGTGTGAGCGGGTCGCATCGGCTGCAAGCCAAAGGTTCGTTGCCTCATGGGTTTAACTTTGACTGCCATTCTATGCCAGGTCAACTGCTCTATCATGTTCTGTCCTTTGTATAGAGGGGGGATCAACTTTGCAATTACTGCCATTGGGCCAAATCCGCGCTCCACCGATGTCAAGTGAACGCATCGCTTAAGTCGTGAATCTGTCCTTTGGAGCATCCTTTGTGAGTTCCAGCATGATGAAGACGGCTTCTGGGATGTTGCCCTGAGTGCTTTGTAAAACTCTCTACGGAGCTACTAACCAACCCCAAAATGGAGTCCAGAGGATTGCATCCATTGGCTTCCCCGTGCCAACTAACTACCTCATGCTGCCTGGTAAGTAGAATCAGAATCATGTAGAATCCATGACCCCCCTTGGGTATTTACTAGGCGCCGGTGCTTGCTGCAATACATGCCTCACCGATTTGGAGACATGCCTGGTCGTGATGGGACAGGACTCACACATCGTCCAGGTTTGGACTGTTCAGAGAATCGTGACCTGTGCACCTATGCACCTCACATCTTGTGAATTCATCTCAACGCACTGGTGGAGAATCTATTTTTGAACGAGTCCTGGCAATACATACTAATAATGCGCTCCCAAAAAAAGGTGGTGTGCTGTTTGATTGTCAGGGAGAGGAGGATGAGGAGGGTGGAGTTTGGAGTTTGACCAGCGACCCCCCCCAAGTGCTTTGCTCCGAAGCCCTAAGGAGTGGCATGACCCTGCGCGCCTATGGCCTGAGGCCCAAGGTCAGAGATCAGGTCACACCGTTACAGCAATCTAGGAAGGGTTCAAACTGGGACACGCGAAATCAACCATTTCAAACAATTTCAGCGGTTGGCAATGTGTTGGCTGAACTTAGAGGCCAGTCAGACAGGTTGGCTGAGATTGGTTCGATGCTTGAGTCGTTCCAGTTCCGGAGGTTTTGGTGAACTTGTCGACGGCAAAACACACGTCCGAGGTCAAAAGAACCCTTTGACCGAATACAAGCTTGAGGCACTGTGCGATGTGCAAGGACAATACGCTGTGCTGTGGTCGTCGTCCAGAAGACAATGACATGGGTCTCTATCCATTCTGAGAAAAGGCGTCGAGGACCCTAAAGTCCTAAAGATATATGACACATGCATGACCTCAAAGTATCTCAGTCTCATGTGAGATGGTTGGCATGCCAGGGCTATCAAGTCTTTTTGAAGATGATGTCCAAGATCAGGCGCCTCACGTGGGGTCGTTCAGCTGAGGTCGCTTGAGAGGTCGTGTGGGCAGGATTTCGCCCATGAACAGTTGAGACATGTTGAGACATTCTCCGGCCTACCACGACATGGCAGGCGCAATGCCCTCTACAACGTCTTCCTCTTCCAGCCCAGAAAGCTGACGCTCAGCTCTATCCAAAGAGTCTTTGAACGGGAAGTACCTGGAAACCCAAACAACCAGAAACAAGGGATGTTTCCACACACAACCACTTCTTAGGCAAAGGATCTCAATTGCCATATTGTTCAGCCGGGTTGCTGGGGAATCGGCCATCCTCGTCCATCGCTTCGTCCATTGTTGGAACCTCCCCAACCTGACCTGAAGGGACGGTTGGTCTGAAAGGAAGCTGGCGGCATCTGAGCGCCTCTGGTGATTCACTGGAATCTCCCCAGCAGTTTCTGGAACTGCTTCTTTCGGAGTGGGTATGCACTATACCGACCCATAAATCCAAAAATGTGAGAAACAATTCAACATATTTCCAACAACAAAACATGAAAGACCATATTGACATATCAATCCATGTAAATCCAAAACATGGACCATCGGATGCTCTCAGCCTTTGGCCCTTTTCCACGTCACCGGACACCGGAACGGCGTCTCAGTCGCCCGTCAGGACGCCCATGTCCCGCGAGCGGGTCAAGGGACTGATCCCCAACCGCGAGACGCGGCGGCGCCAGGTGTCCGGCCCGCCCAGTGGAAGAGCGGAGAGTGGGTGGAAGGGTGGAAGAGTGCGGTGGTTCAGATGAGGAGTTGGGTGAACCGGGATGGTTTCAGGAGATCTGTTGGAAAGATGCCGGATCTGAGACTTACTTAAGCCATGAAATAGGAGATTCATGGAGGTTGTAATTGAAACAAATTGTGCTCAATTGGGCTTTGTAAGCAGCCTTTGAATGGGATGCTGGTGGTTTGCGATTTCGACCGCAGACGGCCGAAGCCGGACGGCCGTTTGCCTGCCGACATGGCCAAAGGGGCGAGATCAAGAAGTCCGAGAGCTACAAGGTGGAAAAGGAAGCGAAAGGCCGCGTTAGCGTGAGCGTGCGCGGGGGGGATGTAACGGCATGTAGAGTGGGGGAGAGGGGGGGTGGAATTGGCCAAGAACTCGGGGCCGGTGTAAGACCAGCAGAAAATGGCCCTCAAGAATGCTTAAGAGACGAATCATTGGAAACCTGTGTCAGTGGCTGCGGCTGCAACAGGCTCCATTGAACTGTAGAAATCTGAAAGTG